GAAAAAAAAAAAAAAAAAAAAAAAAAAAAAAAAAACCATTGATAAAATGAAAACTAAAAACTAAACAAAACAACAATCAGCTACTATGATCCAAGAGCCCCCACCTCATGCTCCCCATCCTAGCACCTGTCATGATTTACCATAAGCACATGTCTAAAGTTTGTCCCCATGAGGTCAGGGACTGTGTCTGCCTTGCTGTTCACGTATCCCCAGTACCTATAGAGCCTGCCGGGCATAGAAGCTCAATAAGTATGTGAGGGATGAGCGAATACATTTTTCCTTAACAAAATGTATATACAGACATAAGAGAGTAATGTTCTACAACAAAATGGTAACAGTAGTTCTCATTTGGTGGTGAGGTGATGTGTCCTGAAATATTTTTCCTATATTTTATAAACATTCCTTAATTGAGTTACTTTGTAATAAAAAATTACTTAAAAATCTATTTTACAGACAATGTTGGGAGCACTACCAGCTTCAAAACTGATAACACCTCATGGGAAAATGTAATCATTTAAAGATGACTTAAACATCTAATTTTATAAGAAAACCTAGCCTGCATTTTTGTGACTCAACTTAAGAAGATGAAGTTTTGCAGAGCAAAATGCCAAAAAATTTTTATCCATAAAAATCATTCTCTTGCACTTAAAAGCAAAGGTGAACTTCAGGTGAAATTCTACCTTGGGGGTTAACTTTGCAAATATCTCATCCCAAACAGAATGAGAATTAATCTGTTTATTTATTTATTTATTTATTTATTTTTGTCCTTTTTGAGACTGGCCGCACCGCGCTCAGCCAGTGATCGTACCGGTCATCCCTATATAGGATCCGAACCCGCGGCAGGAGCGCTGCTGTGCTCCCAGCACCGCACTCTCCCGAGTGCGCCACGGGCTCGGCCCAATCTGTTTATTTTTTAAAAAAACAACTTTTAACTCCTTTAAATTCAGGTTTATTGGGCTGAGTAAAAACAGAGTGCCATTAATTTCGAAAATCTTCACATCTGTGCCTCCAGGCTACACAAGTCTGAATCCATCAGCATTTCCCACCCTGATTTCTAAAGAAGTAAGAAGTTGGGCCTAACAAAGCAACTCACTGTACTTGCAAGAAAGTCTGTCTTCAGGTTACCATTGCTCCTGCAAATAAATTTGTCTGCCACCTGCACCTACTGTGGGCATGTGTGTGTTCAAGACCTTGGAAAGCTTGACACTGTGGACACAAATCCTGTTTGAAGGAACACTGAAAACAGAGGAGGTGGCCACGCATAGCCTAGCGCAAGCGAGAAGTTACCTGTGGCTTTCTTCATGCTGTTTCGAGGCCGAGCAGGCGTGGGGCGGGGAGTCTTCACGGGGTCTTTGGGACCTTCCTGGCAGTCTCCCCCTCTAAAGCCAGGGCAGCATCTCCATTCCAACTGTGTCACTGTCTTGTACCTAGTGACATATCTGGGTCTGAAGTTCACCCGATACCTGCGGACGGAAAGGATGGTGTCTCACTTTACTGGCTGCTGTTACCAGCACTTTGGGTCCTCCCAGCGTTGGACCTGAATGACGAGGATCCAGGCATGCAGCCTGTTCTCTCCAGGCGGACCTGGACTAATCACTGGTCTGCTCGGGCCAGCCCTGGCTCCCTGGGGTTCAGCCAAAACCACAGCAGGCAGGGCTCCTGCTGGGGACTGGCTTCCTGCCCCGTCTCTCCACCTGCTCCCACTAAGGCAGGGGAAACAGACGACTTACAGACACCGGGCTCCACGATTCCCATTTGATGTAGATAATTTTCAGCCCCAAACTGAACTTTTGTTCTACAATTCACAGCTTTGTAGGGACTTTTCAGGTGTAACTCAGGGTTGTTTTGTTTTGTGTTTTATTTATTTATTTTTATTTTTTATTTTTTTTTTCCTTTTTGTCTTTTTTCCTGACCGGCAACGGGATCGCAACCCCCGGTGTCGTGCCCGCACCACGCTCAACCAGTGAGTGGACCGGTCTCTACATGGGATCCGAACCCTCGGCTGGAGCGCCACCACACTCTACCGAGTGCGCCACCGGGCCGGCCCATTGTTTTGTGTTTTAAAGAAACATCCCTGGCACCGTTGTCTCCAGAAACACCCCTGTATTTACTTCTGTGCTTCTATCTCTAACGTGTGCCCAGGCAGCTGGCCAGAAGCCTTTGGGGACAGCCTCCCACACTGTCTGTGTTCAGACCTTTTTCTAAAGATGCCCTGGTCCACTCTGCCGATGACAGGAATCACAAAGCAGAGCTGGAAGCGCTCAGAAAGCCCTGTTCGAAGTGCACGTTCCCTGTGCTCTGGGACACCACAGAGGCTCCTGTGGTGAGCTGGAAAGTCCTCCAGACCAGGGCTGGCCTGGGCTTAGAGCAGGCAACAGCCCAGCAGCCCCGCATGCTCACGGGGACAGAGTCAGGAGTCCAGCCCCCAACACACAAAAAAGCCACACCACACAGAAAAGACCTTCCTTAATCTACTGCAACTTCTTCTTGTGTTTTGGTGGGTTTTAGGGGGTTTTTTGGGGGGGGGCAGGTGGCTAGTAAAGGGATCTGAACCCTTGACCTTGGTGTTACCAGCACCACACTCTAAGCAACTGAGCCAACCAGCCAGCCCCTGCCCCAGCTTCTACTTTCTGGCTTGGAAGCATCGCTGTCCTGGACCTCGTCTCTCCTCATTTCTTGCACTAGCTCTAGCCGCTGGCCCTCTCTTCCTCGGTGTCACCGTGTGCTGCTCACAGGGATGGGATGACCTGCTACAGGGGCTCAGCTGGCCAAGCGACTCCATCTCAGGCACCAGCCCTGCGGCAGGTGGACTTCAAAGTTATGTTCCTGAGAAAATCTCCAATTACTAAATGTAATGGACCCCTGGCATCTTCCCCAGGGGTCAAAACTGCAACACTTACACCCTCAATGTGAGGATCTACTCCCGTGGGACAGGCGAGGTGTCCCTGCAGTATGCCAGGAGGGCCGCGAGAGCCAATCCCATCAGCGCGCCCCACACCTCTCACTGATCCTGTCGTGCTTGGTCTTTTAGGGTGGTGGTTCTCAACCTGGGCTGTCAGGGTCACCCAGGGAACTGTGAAAAAATGGGTCTAGGCATGTGGATTTTGAGAAGCTCTTGGGGGAGACTTTTTCAAGGAAAACTGAAGAGAAAGCCCAATAAGTAAAACAGAAAAGCAAGGGAGGGGTGGGGTGAGGAGGGGCCACAGACCTCCCTTCCGGCTCTTCACTGCTCTCTTTCCCACCCTGTCCTCCATCAAGGCCCCACTATTTACATTCTCCCTTTTCCACAAATGAGAAAACAGAGGCTCGGGGGTTAAGTGATTTGTCCAAGTTCCAACAGTCAGGAAGTGACAGGGCTGGAAATTAAACCCGTGTGTCCTCCCCTGTACCCAACACAGCCCTCCCAGCACACAGAAGTAGAGACTCTCTCTGGCAACTGCTGTAAATTGGAGGAAGAGGCTCCACCTGGAGATGTTCCAGAAAGCCCAAAAAGCTGAGCAAGAAGGTTGCCGACCCCTCCATTCGGCAGCCACACCTGAGTATCTAATTCAATCCAGGTACACACCAGCCCTCGGCCCCCTACCACCCCACCTGCCAAAAGAGTCCTCTGTGTGGTCCCTGAAAATATAAAAAAAAGAAAAATTCCACTTCGTTGTTTTGCATACTCCAAGTACAGCATAATGCTAGAAAAATGTGTACTCTCAGAAAAACTCTGTTCCTCTGAGCATTTAAGACTATGTGAAAATGTGTTTGCTCTTGGGTTTTGTTCCTTTGCCAGTCGATGACGGCCTGTATGAAACCCTTTCGGACGTGGCTGAGCCAGCACCAGGAGGGTAAGCGGGACACCTCCCAGTGGGACACCTCCCACCCCACCCCGGGGCCTTAACCCCCAACTGCACGAGCCAGAGTGTAAGAAAGACCCTGCTTCTCCAGTACACTTTCAGGTTTGTTTTTGTTGTTGTTTTCTTTTCTTTCATGGTTTTCTTTAAAGGCAGTTATTATTTTGGAGCCAGTTCATAACTTTGGAAAGTTCCCTGGACTTCCCACCCGCTCCCACCCGGCCCTAATCAGCTCGCTGTCAGGGTTCCAGCCTTGGAGTCTGGGTTGATGGCGTTCCTGACCGGTCCTCAAGGCTAGCGTGGGGAGAGGCCTTCCTAGTGGGGGGCGACAGCTGGAAGTGATCAGGTTCCCTCCAGCTGTGGGAAAGCTCACCTAGGGACTTCCCCACGCACTGTGACCGCGGGGACCCCAGAGGTCCTGCTAGCCAGCCCGCACGCCTCCAGGCAGGGCTTTGGGGGGAAGCTAGAGGGGGTGTCCTGCCCCACAGTCCTGCCGGGATCTTCCCAGTAGAAAGTGGGTTCCCGCTAACACAGTAGCCAGCCGGAAGTTTCCTTCCCCAGAAGGCAGGGAAGAACCAAGTGGGATTCCCAGGCCTCCGTCCTCCATCACCCAGGACACTGCTGGAAAACATCCTAGCCAGCGAGTTTAAAAAAGTCAAGGTCCTCACCCCTCCCAAACTCTAACTTAATCGCTAGGGGCAGGGGGGTGCCCATATCTTTCAAAAACTCCCCAAGTAACTGTCAAGTGCAGCCAGAGTGAAGAAGCCCCAGACCCAGGCTCCTCTCCCCTCCACAGAAGCCATCCCCCTCCTCACTGGGCCCGGGAGCCCGGAGTCTCGGAGTCTCGGAGGCCACCAGGGGCCGGAAGGACCAGGCAGGGGGACCGGAGCTGAGCCAAAGCAGCCCGATGTGCCCACCAGGCTGTAAGCACACAGGAGATGCTCACTAGACACTCACTGAGTCAGTTAACTGCACCCAGCGTGTGGGTGGCCAAGCCAAGGGACCGATGGCTTAAAGGGACAGAGTCAAGGAGGAGCTGGAGAACTGGCTGAGGCTGCAACCTTGGCTCCCCTCCCAGTCTCCCTTGGGAGTGTCCCAGCATCCTGTCCCTCTGAAAAGCCTCATCCACAGCTGCCACAGGCTCCCCTGGGGCCCCTGGGACTGTGGCATGAGCTGCCCCGCAGCCCTGATCCTGCCACCTAGCCCTGCGAGCTGTCCACCCTCTTCCCAGCTCTCCTTTCTTCTCCTCTTCCTCAGAAACCGTTTTTAAGGGTGAAGCAAAGGGTCACCATTTTTACAAGTTTGGCCACCGTGTCAAGGCACCACATCAGCCCATGAGAGTCTAACGAGAAGGAAAGTGGCCAGAATAGGTCTGGAAAAGTTGGATCAGAGTTCAGGGACCATATGAGTAGAAGTGTCCCTGTTAAAACAGAATGTGGTAAAAGGACTGTGCTTCCATCTGACATCAGTCCCCCCCACAAAGACTCCTTCCTATGGACTGGCGTGGAGACCTCTTTCATAACACGCTGCAGTTCACACTTGCATTAGCTTGTTCAGCATCCGGCTTCCCTGCCAGACCGTAAACCTCATTAGGGCAAGAATTCCTGTTGGTTTTGTTTACTACGACATCCCCATTTTTACATTTTAGATTTTATTTTTAGTGCACTTGTAGGTTCACAGCAAAATTGGGAGGAAGGTACAGTACTCTCCCTGCCCCCATGCACAGCCTCCCCCACTATCAACATCCCCCGCCAGTGTGACACATTGTCACAATCCGTGAACCTGCACAGACACATCATCATCACCCAGAGTGAGTCCACAGCTCTCTCTCGATGTTGTACATTCTATGGGTTTGGACAAAGTATAGTGACACGTACCCACCATTACAGTATCACAGGGAGTAGTTTCACTGCCCTAAAAACCCTGCGTCCCGCCTATTTCCTCCCTCCCTCCCCCACCCCTGGCAACCGCTGATCTTTTGTCTCCATGCTTTGCCTTTTCAGGAATGTCATGTAGTTGGAATCATACAGTGTGCAGACTCCTCACACTGGCTTCTTTGCCTTAACAAAGTTTCTTCTCCGTCTTTTTGTGGCTTGACAGCTCTTTTTAGTGCTTGAATATACTTCATTGTCTAGAACATCCACCACAGTGACCGTCCTATTGTAGATACTCAATAAAAAATTATTAATCATTAATAATCAGTTAATCAGGGCCGGCCCATGGCTCACTCGGGAGAGTGTGGTGCTGATAACACCAAGGCCCCGGGTTCGGATCCCATATAGGGATGGCCGGTTGGCTCGCTGGCTGGGCGTGGTGCTGACAACACCAAGTCAAGGGTTAAGATCCCCTTACCGGTCATCTTTAAAAAAAAATAAATAATAATAATAATAATAATCAGTTAATCAAACAATACTTAATTAATGATACTATGTCTACCTTTGCCAAGGTTTTAGGGTGTCCAATGTCCACAGTAAAAACCCCAGAGTTATCCTCAAGTCTAACCATAAGCAGATTCCTGAGTCTTCCCAGAACCCAATCAAGCTCCAGAACCCTCAGATCACGATGACCTGGACAGGAATTACACCCGAGGGGTGACAGAGAGCTGTGCCATCCAATAAGATAGCTGTTAGCCACATGTGGCTATTTAAATTTAAACAAATTAAAATTAAATAAAATTAAATACTTAGCTCCCCAGTCACAATAGCCACATTTCAAGAACTTAATAGCTACATGTGGCTAGTGGCTACAGCATTGCACAGCATCAACATCTCCATCATCGCAGAAAATTCTGCTGCACAGAGCTGACCTGGAGATTCACAAGATTGTCAAGGAATCAGCAATGTGTCACATCTGCTCACCTCTTGATTCCTGTCCCCCATCAATCAACCTGTCTTCTTTCTCCTCGCACATCTGCTGTAGAACCACAAGCAGAACGCTGCTCTGAAAATCACCATACATCCCTGGCAAGGGATAGTCCAGACAGCTGTTCCACAAGGTTAAGCCTCTTTTCCCTGAACTTAGCATTTACCTGTATTTTATTTTGACACAGGCTACTAAAACTCTGCACAAATCGAAAGCCTAGTGCCCCCTTGGGGACACTCACTTGACAGGGAGCTCTCCCAAGAACAGACTTTCTAGTAAACTCCCCTCTTTCCAATCACTGTCCTGCCCCCAAAAACCTGGAGCCAACTCTTCTTGCTTCACTCCGCGTGTGTGGAAACACGGTGTGGTCTGGAATGGAACAGAGGACGGAGAAAGAGACCAGAAGGAAGAGGTGCTTCCCCGCGGGCTGGGGACGAGTGTCCTAGTGAGGGCTGGAGAAACAGCCACCTACCCAGGGAAAAGGAAAACAAGGAAGTGAGTGGGGAACCATCCCATGAGACAGAACTGCTCCTAAAGTGCAGGCGGAGCTACCGGCATGCAGCCACTACCCTGAGTTCCCATAAAGCAGCATTCGTTCCAGCCACAGCAACTGACTTTTTAAAAATTGTGGTAAAATAACATAAAATTTAGCATCTTCACCATGTTTAAGCGTACCCTTCTGTGACATGAGAACATTTACACTGTTGTGCAACCATCACCCCATCCATGTCCAGGACTTTTTCATCTTGCCAAAATAAAACGCTATCCCTGGGGCCAGCCTGTGGCTCACTCGGTAGAGTGCGGTGCTGATAACACCAAGGCCCTGGGTTCAGATCCTATATAGGGATGGCCGATTGGCTCATTGGGTGAGCGTGGTGCTGACAACACCAAGCCGAGGGTTAAGA